ATACGTAAATCGTAATGATTAAAATTTTAAATTTTATAAAATTTTGTCTTTAAAGTTGATAAAAGATACAATTATAACTTCTTGGCCAAGCATTGAATTTCATAAGAACGTTTTACTTGTCATGACCGTTCCTGCTGAATACTCTCATCGATCACGCAATATAATGCGTGAATGTGTATTCAATGCTGGTTTAATTGGTGAAATTGATTCGGAAAAATTGCAATTCACCACAGAACGTATGTTTTAATATTACTGTACCTTATTCCTTATATATCAAAATTTGAACTTAATTTCTTTTTAATTTAGCCGAGGCCGCCGCTATTTACTGTATGAAACATTGTCTTAAAGAATCTGCTTTTATTGCCAAGCCTGATAGTAGAATCGATCACAGTATGTATACTTTTTGAGATAATTTCTGTATGTTACACTTAATATAATATATCGATTACTTACTCGATACGATGTACGTAGCAATCTTTTGTATTGTCGATGCAGGTGGTGGAACTGTAGATCTCACAACTCGTAGGTTATATAATAATAACCAATTGGGTGAAGTTACTGAACGTGCAGGTGATTTTTGTGGAAGTGCTTGGATAGATCGTGAATTTATCAAATTTCTCAAAAGAATACTTGGTGAAGTTCCATTAAATATACTTGAAAAGAGTCATTATGGCCAAATGCAATATATGGTTCAAGAATTTTGTAAAAATGTCAAGTTTCTATTCGATGGTAAAGATCCTAACTTTTCATATGATCTAGATCTTGGAGGTAAATATAATTATACGTTTTAAAAGTTATTAAACTAGAAAACAAACTAATATAATATTTGTTATTAGAGGTTTGTCCTGTAATCAAGCAATATGTAACGGGCGATGCGAAAAATAGGCTAGAGGAAAATGATTGGATAGTCGAATTAGATTATATGAATGTCAAGAATATGTTTGATCCTGTTGTCAATAGGATTATCAACATGATAAAGATACAATTAGATAATTCCAATGATAAATGTTCCATGTTATTTTTGGTTGGAGGGTTCAGTCAATCTAAATATTTACAATCAAGAATCAAAGAAGAATGCCAACACCGGGTTAATTCTATTTCAGTTCCTGTTCAACCGATTGCTAGTATATGTCGTGGGGCTGCATATTATGGTCTCAGCATGAAAAATACTGCCAATGGTGTAGCTTTGAATTGGGACAAATTTGTCGTCAAAACTAGAGTACTTAAATATACGTATGGAATCAAAAAATCCATGAAGTGGAAGGATGGAGATCCAAAAAATCGAAAAAGCTATGACGGATATATTGATAAATTTCATCCATTAGCATCGAAGGGGAGCGAAGTATCCGTAGATCAAGAGTTTACTTTTAGCTGTTTGCCTTTAAAAAAGGATCAAGTAGCTATAACTTTTGAAATATTTTGTACACAAGAACAAGAATTCAAATATTGTGATGAGCTTGGAATGAGGCTACTTGGAAAACTTCGAATTGATCTTCCAGACGTCCATCTTGGTCTCAAAAGACCTATTCTTTTTGGACTTTGTTTTGGAAAAATGGAAATTACTGCTTTCGCACAAAACAAAACTAACGGTCAATATTATCAAACTATCTTTGAATTAGAAAGAGATAATTAGTATTTTAAAAATTTTGTTATATTTATTTTAGCACTGCTTTGGTAATCTGGGTGGTTCATATAGACAAATTAATTTTTAAAACAAGCAATTTAAATCGATAATTGATTATTCATAATTTTTATACAACTAGTATATTATAAATTTTATTTTAAAAAAAAAATATTTGATTTTTTTTTTTCTTTTAAAAAAAAATCATGCAATATAAAAAAAGTACATATATTTATTTGAATTTTGATAGAAATAAACAGATATATTTATTAGAAATTGAACTTTTATTTGACTTGTAATTACAATTATACTATATTGCTCGATCAAAGAAACTTATCAAATTATATAACACAGGGAATGGGTCTTGCTGATATTAGAGATGCAAACGGTTCATTCGACTTTATTGATAGGTCGGCTTTTATTATTAATAATACGACTATTCGCTAATGCAAATAATGGTAATTTGGCTTATCCGGGAAATGATTGTTGACACGAATTTTTCAGATACCTTAATTAATGGGCATCTGCGCATTATTTCGAAGGCGTTATTTTGAAATAACACATTTTTCTAATCGTGAAGAATCTTCACGATTACATAATAAGCAAAAGCTCTGGCCAATCTTCACGACCGACTAAAAATCGTCCGCATATAATAACTGCGAAGATTCTTCACGGTTATCATATGCAAGTACTTTATTAAACACACGAACAGAATTGTTATGAAATACGCGATTTTGGGACGCGCATGGGCATTATTTCAAAGCCATCTATACTATTTTGGGCACGATTTTCAAAACAATGCCAATGTATCTAAATAGTAATGTTTTTAATACGTCGTATTGTTTATTTTATAAACAATTAAATATAAGCTACAAACAAATTATGAGCAATGGAAAGGGAAAATTTGAAATTGATTCATTGATGTTTACCATATAATCTAACACATTTATTACATAATATGTATAGATTTTGATAACAGTGAAATTATTGAATATTTAAATGCATTACTTTATTATTTAACTAAATAAAATAATTTACATTTAACCGGAGCAAAATCACTGCCCTTATGTGTTTAGGATTAGGGTGCAATTTCAAGTTAAAATTAGAGTTAGATATAAAGGTTTAAATTTTAGTTAACATAAGGTTTTGGGGCAGGGACAGTGATTTTCTGTAATTTCAAAAAAATGGTAGTTATGCACACTCACATGATTATTAACCAATCAAAAAGAGGCATTTATATCATACAACGCACGTCTGAAATGTGTGCCAGGTTTGTGGCGCAGCAAAACCCTTTAAAGTTCGTTAATGTTAGGGTTAGCGTGGTTAGCGTTTATAATAAGGTTAGAGGTTAGGTAATTATGTAGTAAAATCGCTCAAGAAAAACTTTTTGTTAGAGCAATAAAGCTGGTTTCTTATACAGATTTTCGAGAAACAAGCGATTTTTGACAAAACGAACGTTTGTTTTGAATTTTCCTGATCGTGTTACGTTACACCTGATCTTGAAATCTGATTCGTAGTTTAGGCAATATGCGCCACAGTTGCGCCACAAACCTGGCACACATTTCAGACGTGCTCATACAACGGATCAAAATCACCTATCAGCAAACGAATTAATTAATTAAATAAATAATCTTCGCGGATATTGGATTGGAATGCAGTTAATTTCGCCGAATTTATCAAAACTTGCACTTAACTATATGGTTTCCAGCTTCTAATTGTAGTGTTGAATGCGATTATCAAAATCTTTCACTTGATTCTTTAAAGCTAATTCTATTAATTAAACAATAAAATTTTAAGTGTTGATTCTGAAACAAACTTTGTCTAAAACCAGAAGATGAAATAATTGAAAACGTTAAAAATCAGAAAGAAATTCAAAAAAGGTACAGAATAACAAAAGTGTAAAATTTTAGTTAAGGGTATCGCTAATTTTAACCAGAGGTAAATCACCGGAGTGCTATGTATATCTCAAAATGTTTAGAACCCCAAAACAGAGACAGTGATTTTCTGTGGTGGCTAAGGCTAAATTCTGTATGTGGTTAAGATAAATTCTGTGATTTGATGTGATAACTTTTTAAAAAAATTCTGTGCAATTCTGTGGCAGCGATGACGAAATTCTGTGATTTAATGTGATGATTTTTTAAAAAAATCCCGTGCAATCCCGTAAATTATGTGATATAGTATTTATTATATAATTTTATATTTATACGTATACCGATTTATTTATATGTATCAAAACTATAAATCTACTAAAAAAAAGGGTTCTTCTAGGCATCTCTAGCTAGAGATGCCTAACGATAATATTTCGGGCTTAATAGCCAATTAAAATGCAA